GTCTATAATTACTGGGACAATTGTTATCACCCCCATTGAAAAGAGGAGTTACATTAGCTAACTTCCAATCCACTGGTACCAACCTACTATTCAAGGATTGACAAAAATAGTAGCAAGTACCTCACATATCCAATCTTTAACCTCTTTCAAAAGCCTTGGGGAAATTTATCTGGCCCAGGAGCTGTATCATTTTTTATACTTCCCAATTTTTCTTAACCATCTCAGAATTAAGGCAGTCATCTTGTTTCTATTTATCAACTGTTCAAGATGTGGAATACTGCGTAAATCATTGTTAGTAAAAACTGAAGAAAAAGCTAAATTTAATAACCCAGCCATCTCGTAACCATCAGATACTAGCCTTTCTTTATTATCCCTTAAGGGGCCTACTCCCATCCTAACATTTTGTTTACCCTTAATGTACTTAAAGAAATCCTTACTGTTAATTTTGACATTTTCAACCAACCTTTTCTCATACATCCTTTTTTGATGTCCTAATTTCCTGTTTCACTAACTTTATTGAGATTCTATAACCTTTTAAGTATCTTGTCATAACAGTCAATTTAAATTTCTTAAACTTGTGATGATTTTCATTAATTTTATCTCTTAAACTCTTCATGAGCCAACCTGGTTTTTTAATTGCAGCTACCCTTTTCTTTCTATAAGGAGTATGTTTACCTTCAGTATTTAAACATTTATCTCAAAATTAGCTTTTTTGACAGTTGTAACCAAAATATTATTCCTGATCTCCATATGCAGCAAAACATCGAATCTAATAGAGCAATGATCACTTGCACCCAGATGTTCCCCAGTTTTCACCCTCTCGATCATTTCTATATTTAAAGTTAACAATAAATCTAAAATAGTATTGTTTCTAGTTGGTTCCTTGATTAACTGGTGAAGAAAGCCATCCTGAACAGCTTCCAAAAACCTTTCTCCCTCATGGTTTGACTCTAGTATTTCCCAATCTATATGCCTGATATTAAAATCACCCATAATTATGACCTCATTAACAACTGAAATCTTAATCTCATTGTCAAGTTGTTAACTAATTTCCCACTAAAAGCCTTTTCCACTAATAGACACCAAAATGGATTCAATCACCTTGCTATTATCTTTAATATCCTCAACTTCAACAGGATACAACTCACATTTTACATATAAAGCCACTCCCCCCCTTCTTTAATACTCTATCCCTATTAAATAGCCTGTAACCATATATTTCAAAGAAATTTCTGTCATAAAATCATCTACGTTTAACCATGTTTCAGATATTCTCATTGTATCAAAACCCTCCATTCCTACCAGTGCTCTGAAGTCATCTATTTTATTTCTTATACTTTTAGCATTACAATAATAACAATTCATCCTGTCCTTATAACTACTTCTATACTCTTTTCCTATGCTAAACTTTTCTCTGTCTCTTATTCTTTTTGCTTTATTTTTTCCTGGCCCTCAGTACTATCTAGTCGTAATTTAAAACTTCCATTACAGCTGAGTCAATAGCCTTAGCAAACAAGCCAGCTCCTACTCTATTTAAATATATACCACCCATTCCAAAAAGCTCCCTTCTTCCACTGAACTGATCCCAAAAGTCCAGTCTGCTCATCCTTACATACTAACTTAAGCTTAGCATTTAGCCCTAGTGACTTACTTATAACTTCATCCCCATAGTTAATTCTGGGCAGTAGCCCTGACAAAATTCAGGTATGGCTATTTTCTTTAAATGCCTTTATCAACCTCTTGTACTTATTAAATACCTTTTCTGACCTATCTTTCTCTACATCATTAGCCCTTACATTCACCACAAAAACTGCATCTCTGCTAGCCCCTTTATTATATCTCCTGCTCTGTCAGTTATATCCTCCACCTGTGCCCCTGGGTGGCATAATCTGATTATTTACCCCACAGACTATTCTATCCACATGCCTTGTTAAGGAATCACCTATAACTATAACCTTATCATCCACATCCTTCTCTGACCTTTTGTTTTCCTTCCCTCCAATAATTCCTCATCTACAGAAGCCAAGGGCTTGAAATTTGTCGCTCAACAAAATAGGCTCATTATAACTAAAGCCACTACTTTTAGCCTTAATAGTACACTTTCTAACATCCTGATAGTTATTGTTAGCTGATGTATTCCTTACACGTAAAAGCTTAAGCTTCTCCTGAAATCCTGCTTCCATTTTCTTTTATTATGTCTCTAAACATTTGAAATGGTTGGTACAAATCATGTGTAAAAAATATATATTGGTATTAAAGTCTACCAATAAAGATAAGTAGAACCGTAAGTTTTGGTCAATTC